CCCTTTTTGCTTGGATTACCATCCATATTTGATTCATATTTCACTCGGAAATAAATCTGAAATTCATAATTATTTTAAATTTCTTTAAATGTATTTATTACAGTTTGAATTGTCTCACCTGTCTATTACTTTTCTTTTTTCCAGTTACTTTTAAATTACGGCATGCACAACGTTTTAATGTTACAACATTGTTATCATTTACAGTTGCAAATTTTAGTTTTGCTCCAGGAACATCTTCTTGTATTAAAAACATTTTTTTCAAATGTACTTCATCATATGTTTATATGAGGATAAAGCAGTGTTTGTCCCTACCGAACTACTAGCGCTGCTAGTGAGTGATTTTTCGTACTTCAGGAAAAAGTTTCCTTGAATGAAACAAATAAAGATCAACTTCGAATAAAACTCGTACTGCAATGAATCATTAATAAAACAATATCATAAATGTTCTCTAATGATCAGTTTCAACTGATGGCTTTGAAAATAAAATGACATAATTTTCCTGGTGTCGTGTTCTGGACAGCTAACGTCAATAACTTTTAAAGCCACTTGAAAGCATTCTGGCTATTTGTACACCTGTCAGCCATGTAATCAACAATTAATCCACCTCTATTGAAAATACATTTTTCCGTTAATCAGCTGTCGCCTGCCTACGAACGACAACTCTCAAAAAAACGAAACTTGTGCGAGCTAAGGACTTACGAGGTCTTAACTTTTAAGGTGTGATTCCTAACACGGGTTGAACGATAGGAGGTGAAAATCGATCGTCTGGCCTTGCGGTTCGAACAACCGGTCCGCACAGCGGTCGATTGAGTGAGTGGAGCAAACCACCCACGTCAACCCACCACTCTACCGTCCCAACTTCAATTGAATACCTTTTCGTGAGAAAAATATCTGATCGATGGGAAATTTGAACCCGCCAATTCACTGCTGAAAAGACATATATTTATATTGGAATTGAAGAAAAATATGTCGGAGTTTATGTATCAGGTGTAGTCTTCCCTGGATTTGATATCACCAGCCTTTTCTAAAATTATTATATGCATATGTTGTACTAATTACATACGTAAAAAGTTCCTTTTTCCTAATATTTTAAATAGAACTAGATTTCAAGATCAGAACAATACGTAAAAATGCATTACTCTAGCAAAAAAATTGGCAGTATCCTCTAGACGATGCGTGACTCAACATAGTGTCTTTCTTATGTAAAATTACTGAAATGACGCATTTTTACGTAAATTTTGTGCGCCTTTGATATCTTGTCCCGTTCAAAACTAAAAGGTGGGAAACTTTCTAGTTCGCAATTTATCTCACTATGTAATGTACTTACAAACCCTTCTGGGCAAGAATTTTGCCGATTCCTGGTGACCCCAAAGACGAATATGATACAACTACAATGTCGTTATCGTGGCAGAACTTGACAAGTTCAGGTTGTTGTAGATATACTGTTAGTTCGATCTGCAAACTGGCTGGTTTTATTCTAGAAGCTTGGATGACTTTTTCGATCTGTTTGATGTTGAAATTTGATAAACCAATCGTTTTCGCTCGGCCAGCATCTACTTGTTGTTCCATAGCCTAACAAATGTATCAAAATAAGTAATTTCATATTGATATGAACAGCAATTGATTTTTGTTGTTACACGCTATCCACTATTACTTATATAAGNTGTGTGTTCGGCGAGTCTTGGCCTACACCTGCCGATATAAAGGAGATGTCTTCCAGCGACCTGTCCCCCTTCCTGGAAAGCACAGGATGGACGATGACCTAGGAGGCAACTCCTCGGGAGGATGTACAATGGGTCACATGTGGTCTAAGTGCGTGGACTTACACTCACCCTCCCTACTCTACAGATACAGATACCTTGAATACTATAAATTGGCACCCAACGTGGGGCTCAAATATAAACATGGAGGAAGCATTACTAACATTTTCAGGTCAACGAAGGTTATTCCCGTCAAAACATAAATACAGTGCAAAAAATGAGTAAGACCCTAGACCTGTTTAATCGATTGAAATTAACACGAATCGGTGCTTACGACGAGAGCTGTCAACAGGTTATTATAATTTTCGTAACTTTGGCACATAATTCCTGAAATTTTGAATTTGAATTATCGTTTTTTTTTTCCTTGAGCGTCGAGTACCTTCAGCCGTTTTCTTGGAACTCTTCTCACCCTTTTTTTATTCTCATCAATTCCTTATCTCTGATATTCAAAATGTAGATAAAATAGTTGCCAATACATACATGACTTTGCTATTAGGAAAACTTCTATCAGAGACATTGTTACCACATTGGCCTGAACGATAAACAGAGAAAAATATTTTTAATGCATGTTTGACCACTACATATTACAAAACGAAGTCCCCCCATTTGTGGACAAATCTTTTGTTTTTGGGTGTGCTGAATCCCAAAATGACATTAACTTCGTCATAGAACGTCATGTTTTCTGACAATGTAGATGTCTATGTTGAATCTATGATCTTGATAGCTTGCAAAATTGGTTCAGTGAAAATTCATTGTTTTTGAATACCTCCAAAACGAAAGCAGTAGCTTTTTATACTACCCAAAATATTAACACGGTAGACACAGCTATCTGCTAGGACTATACACATCCGTCTTTCAGGCGGAAGTGTATGCTATCTTGCAGTGTGCAAGGCTTATTAAATAGAGACCTCAAAGACAAACCCGAAGGTGACATCAAAACTGGTCTGGGAATGCCATGAAGAAATGAATGAACTTGCGAACAGGAACGAGTTAACTTTGTACTGGGTGCCAGGGCATTCAGGAATCACAGGTTATGATAAAGCTGATGAATGCTCTAGACGCGGATCATCAACTTCATATATAGGTCCCTCCTCTGGAGGTACCAAAATCATTGGTAGGAAACCAGATTAGGACATGGACCAATAAGAAGCACACAGAGTACTGGACAAAAGTACCTGGCAACAAACACAGTAGAACCTTCATTAGGGAACCGTCCGAGAAAAGAACCGAAGAACTACTTCAATATAGTAGGGATCGGCTCAGAATAATTACTAGTCCAGTCATTATAGTAAGTTCACCTCGGAATTCGAGATACCCAGCTGTAAGTCTGTAAATACTTGTATATTGACACCCTAAATGTTGTCTGAAAACCTACATATGGTAGGGTGTACGCAACTATTAAACTTCAAGGTCAAAGGTCACAAAAATCGGTTTCTTGCGCTTTTTTTATAAATATCTCATTTCCTATTGGTTTTTTGCCATTTGTATTCATTATCAATACTGTAGAATACAAAATTCTCTACAAATTTTGTTCAAAAAAANTTGAGTATTTGATGTCTACTGCAGTAGTAGACAAAACGTCAGGATTGACAACCTGCAGACCACGGCTAAAATAACGGAAAATAACTCTCACACAGTTATCTCTGGCCGTGAAAGTTTACATTTTTTGAGTAAACACGTAGTAAAACAAACGCAAAAAAAATATGGATAAAAGATAAGACATCAAAATACAATATAGGAGGCTTCTCATAGCTAACACGAATTGTCAACTCCACTTTATCCGCGAAAACGCCTTGATTAGGTAGTTTAGTAGTTATGAAGAGGGCTTCTCTCTTGATTTTGCCAGAGGAAAGCCACCGTTTGAGAACACGACCAATGATCTCTTCGGTGTCGTACATAAAGGCTGTGTCGATGTGTCGGTATCCAAGTTCAAGGGCAGCGTTGACTGCATTCTCAACAACATCTTCCTTACCTTTCTGAAAGAAAATTATAATTTTTTAGAGAAGTAATTCTGTCGACCAACTATAAAAAACAGTTGACATAACAAAAACGATCCCTACACGAAAAATTTCACGACGTTTCCTTTCCCATGACGAGGATATATATGCTGTCTGTTCAAAAAATAGGGTGAATTTTTTCGACCAACTATAAAAAACAGTTGGCATAACAAAAACGATCCCCTACACGAAAAATTCCACGACGTTTCGTTTCCCATGACGAGGATATATATGCTGTCTGTTCAAAAAATAGGGTGAATTTTTAATCTCACTAAAAATTTTAATTATTCATCAATTTCTATTTTGTCCCATTCAAAGTAGCCCCCCTTCTCAAATATAATATAATTGTGCCATCTCTTTCAGCAATTCAGTTCTTATCTCTTCAAAAACGAAAGCTATGATTCTAACAACCTCTTACAAATATAAACAAATAAATATAAATACTCTTTCCCTGTATGCTGATGGTCAGAAACTTGAATTTGTGAAAGAATTCAAATATTTAGGTTTTATGTTGGACAACAGTATGTCTTTTGGTGCACACTATAACTATATGACTAAAAAGATTTCAAAAAAACTATATTTCTTCACTAGAATTTCGAAACACCTTTCTACAAATGCGAAAATAACAGTATATAATACAATAATACAGCCCCATTTTGATTATTGCAGTACGCTGTTATATAGTTTTGACCAAAATAAAATTATGTCTCCGCAAAAGTTACAGAACAGAGGAATGAGGGTGGTTCTTGGATGTAATCGTTATGCAAGTATATGCTTTATGCTCAGTGCATTACAGTGGATGTCTATTCGTGAAAGATATTACAGGTCAGCAATGATATTTATTTTTAAGATAATCAATCATATGCTACCTTCTTATTTCGAAGAATTTATCATTTATAGAAATTCCACTCACAATTACACTACTAGACAAAATGACAATTTTCACCTGTCACGATGTAGTTTATCAAACTCCATGAAAATTTTATTATATAAAGGCATCATTGAATATAACAAACTTCCCCAAAATGTGAAGAATAATAAAAACCTGTTTCAATTCAAAAAAGATTTGACTGATTAAATGAAAGGTATCACAATAGAATAGATAGTAAGTGACTCGGTATATATTATGTATTTATGTGTACCTATATGTATATATGTATTATATCCTTACTATGTGTGTCTATATAACATGAAATATTATGTATATTATGTTTGTGTATTAGGATCTTCCTACCAATAAATCATTCATTCATTCATTCATTCATTCATTCTCCTCAATCATCGCATAACGCCAGTCTTCCATGGGTCTCTTTAACCTTAGGAAGAGAAAACACTCGTAGGAGGTCAAATCAGGTGATTACGGTGGCTGAGGCATGAATACGGTGGCTGAGGCATGATTACGGTGTTGTTTTCGAACTTGGCGTGCTTTTTTGGTCATGGCTCTCCGTGGCTCTTCCGCTGAGATGATTGGACTTTGGTTTCGAGTTAATAACGATATACCGTAAAAAGGGGGCAATAGAAACAGTTTTCGACCTTTCAGACTCTACAGCTGAGTTGGTATTCATTTTATCTAAAAGGAATAAATTGGAAAATGTGTGTCATTACTGATATAAGAAAAGGCCTCACAAGGCAATGTCAAAAAATGTCACAGTTTTTTCCGAAAATTCGAAATTTTTTCTTCACCCTCCAAGCGGGGTGAATAGAAACAGAAGTTATTTTAGCACTCAATTTATCACTGAACCTTGTAGAAGGCGAATAGAAACAATAACATTTTACCTTCAAGTGTATATATAGTCATTGGAAAATTTTTGAAAAAAAAAGCAAAATGTTCCACTCAAAGGTTTTTTACGAAAACAACAATATAAGCTTTCATTACAAATATAGCAACATAAAAAAATAAATGTATCATTTTATAGATCTGGTGCCTCAATTCTTGCAGCAACATCTTTGGCAGAATTCGTCACTAGTTATGACTCTTTCAAACAAATCTAGATCGCGATGGTTTTTTTAGTCAAAATTCGGCAATTTTGGAACAAATAACGTTCAAAGGCAATATCATGGCTGCCCTCTGAGAGAGCGTGTTCTGCAACTGCTGATTTATCTCTTCGGCCAAAGCGCCAATTTCTTTAATGCTCAGTCAAGCACGTGTTAACTCTTTTTTTCGTGGTTTCAATGTAAAACGAGCCACAACTGCAGAGTATTCATGGAGATCCTTGGGGACTTTTGCTAATGTAAGTCAGAAAAGTTCTATCAATGGTTGTAAGAATGGGTTGATTTCGGCCTCGTTCGTTCCCCGTTACCCAGAAACGCATTTTTCAGATGACACATTTCCTCTTGTAGGTCCATTACTATGAACCATAACTGTGAACAGTTTTTGCAGATGACAAATTAGATGTAGCCGAAAATGCTCTCAACAAAGGAGGCACTCACATTCCAAGATACAGTAATACTGGATAAAACTCAAAATTACTTTCCGAAAGAATAAAGAGACGCAATAGAAATTCAAAAACACTGGAGAAGAGGCAATATGAACATTAATGAAATCTGGCTACCTGTCCTTGAAGATACACAAACAAGGTCAGGTAAACCAATTCAGAGAAACCAAGCCACGTCCACCAATAATAGTCAAACAACAGCAGAGTTTGGAACAACGGGATCAACAACTTGAGTATTTGATGTCTACTGCAGTAGTAGACAAAACGTCAGGATTGACAACCTGCAGACCACGGCTAAAATAACGGAAAATAACTCTCACACAGTTATCTCTGGCCGTGAAAGTTTACATTTTTTGAGTAAACACGTAGTAAAACAAACGCAAAAAAAATATGGATAAAAGATAAGACATCAAAATACAATATAGGAGGCTTCTCATAGCTAACACGAATTGTCAACATACTACTGAAAACTGTAGTATGTATTTTTCACAAGTGCACTTTTCACTGTGATATTTTTAAGATACCAGACAAGTGGTTTTAAATCTTTCTGTTTTAAAATATGATGTAATTTTTCATGTAAGATGTTGTAGGTAAAGGAAAAGACACATCATCATTTCAATGTGTATTGTATACTTGAGAGTTAATATTCCAAGTTTGATAAAAATAGGTTTGCAATGTGCCCTGGGCTCACTTTTGCAATTGTGCCGAATGGCTCTTTTCTGAGGCACAAATATATTCATCAACTGATCCTAGCCGAACCTTCAAAAAGCAATACCATATCCTAGACAAGGCCGTAGCCAGGGGGGAGATCAAGGGGGATTGATCCCCCCGATCCAAAAATTATATCAAATACAACGATTGGCTTGTTTAAACATCACAAGAGGTTGCGTTAATGGTCATGTTACGATTGTGCACGACTGGTGTAAACCTCGAAGTAGGAATGGGTCAATTGAGGCTGAGCCTATGGCGATAAGCTTACTGCGCAACCTCTGCTGCAGGCAATGAGTGATTTAATTGAACCCAGGTTTGTGTTCAATAAATCCTACAAAATACAAATAAAACAGAACACAGAGTCAGATGTTACAAATGCAATACGCATTTATACAGACGGCTCAAAAACCAAAGAAGGCTCAGGATGTGAGGTGTACTCCAGATCACTAAGCGTGGTTCAAACAGAACGGGCTGGTATCTCAATCGCCACAAAGAAAAAATAACCAGGAAAGGAGTTTCTGGTAAAAACTCAACAATCTGCACTGACAGCAGATAAGCCTTATTATTAGCCTTGAGCAGACAACGTGTTACCTCAGGGCTAGTACTAGAGTGCCACCAAGATTTAGCCAAAGCCTCGGTAGATAATAACATTATCCTGAGGTGGATTAAAGAGCAAGACAGGAGTAAAAGTTATCACAATGCCAATTTTTTAGCCAAGGAAGCGGCTGGACTAAGAATTTTAGGACCCAGTGGCACCTACGGCCCGATGACTTCGACAATTGTGGAATTAGCCGAACGTCACACCCATGCTCGAACCTTAAAGAGATGGAATGAAATCAAACGATGCAATCTTGCCAGGATCACCCTGGACGACCTGGCGTCGAAGAAATATCTGGCGATGACCAGGAAAAATCTACGCTTAACAGTAGGATTTCTGACTGGTCACTGTCAACTAAGAAAACACCTCCATAATATGGGGCTAGAGGACACACCTCTATGCAGCCTCAAAACTTATTTAAGAAACTCCAGAAGCCAGGAACGACTGAACGGTTTGACGTTAACGTCAATCCACCGTAGAATTGACATCGACACCGAGGAGGTAATTGATTTGTTTGCTGCGAAGAAAACTAGAAAAATAAATTTGATTTTGTAAAAAGATGTTGATATTTCTGTAATGGCTTTCTAATAAATATATATGATCATGTAACACCATTTTCTTTCTTTCGTTATTTTTATATTTCATGTTGTTCTATTGTTCCACCAAACCAATTTCCCCCTCGAAATTGTTTTCTAGCTACGGCCTTGATCCTAGGTGAGTGAGAAGTAGGCTATTCTGCCTGCATAGAAGCCTGAAGCAAGTTTTTTTTCAAGTTTTTTATGTGTTCCTCAAACTTTAGCTTATCGTCTAAGTAAATAATACCCAAAACTTTTGTATATGATTTGTTGTTAATATTATGGATAGGTACCTAGATAAAGATCATTATGAATGAATTTAAATGTCGAAATACTGGTTTTGTCATAATTAAAACAAAGCGAAGTTGATACGCACGTTTCTGAAGTCCTTGGCAGGGCCGTCGCCATGGGGGGATGGGGGGGAGCCTCCCCTCCTGCTTTTTTGACTTGGAAAAAAAAAATCATGGGCCATGAAGATAGAAAAAATTAATAGTAAAAAAATAAAGAAATAAATAAAAATAAAAAAAATGAAAATAATTAACTTGAAGAGAATTCTGAGTTGTTTGAAATCTTCAGAAAAGTTCAATTTCTCCCAAGTAAGAGAACAGTCCACAAATTTTGAAGTGACAATTTTACAAAATTCCCAACTTTTCGCTGTTTTTCCAACTTGGAAAAGTTGGGAAATTTCTGGCCGTAAAGATAGAAAAAATAATAGTAGAAAACAATAAGCACAATATTATTTAAGTGTTGTTTCCTTTCATTTGTATTGAATATTCCTATATATGGTGAATATGGTGGAAGACCAAGGACCTTGGTCCAAAGTAGAATAATTCCCATTATTATTTTTATATTCACCAAAATTTATTTTTGTTTGTGCATACCCTAACGGGCATAAGCATTCAGCCAATCTTTGGATAGCTAAGTAAGAAAATTTATATATTATAGTAGTAACTAATCCCTCGGCTTTCATTTCTTGGAAAGTTGGGAAATTTTGCTGGTGGAGTTGGGAAAATTTGGATTTCCTCCCCCCCTGGTTTTTCTTTTCGCTACGACCCTGGTCCTTGGAGATGTTTGCTTTCAGAAGTTAATATTAGTTCATGCCACATTAACGTAGTATTATCCGCAAACATGGTAAATGATCCTTGAACGTCTAATTTACTGAAATCATTCAGATAAATGATTTTTTGTTCTGGAAATTTGAAACATATCTCGTATGTCAATTCAAAATACCTGTTATTGTTGTAATGTTTCATGATAGTTACGAAATTCCATAACAACGATGAATTTTTCGGTAGAGTTCGTTTCTATTTGAACAGCCCCGTACAATATATATTGTACCAACCTGGTCACTCTTCATTTATCAATCATTACTACGAGTAGGTATAGTACGCATACAAAATTCACGGCAAAAAAACAAGGATGACCATTTCGACTCTCAACAATAACCTTCAGGTTCACTCTTTCAAAAAATATTTTACCCAAAGATCGTTCATGTATTTCGGTCCAAAATTTTTCAACCATATCTCACCCGACCTTAGAGAAATGAAAAATCTCAAAACTTTTAAAATACAAATGAAAAAATGTATATAACTAAACCTTGATAAATTTCCGATAGATACAATTTAGCAATGGATAATTTATTCTATCAATCCCATGATGCACCTAAGGCATAAAAGGAAAACCAATCCCTGTTGTTTCCGCTGGTTCATCCTCGTTATTACAACAAACTTCTTTTTGACTGAGTATATAGATACTCTATATACTCGCAACTTATATGTATTGTTATCATATAAGTTAATAAGTTGATTAATGAATTTTATATCTATATAGTCACCTCGAAAGTTCCGGTTCCAAGTCCTACTGATGGTATTTTGTATCCACCAATCATAGTTTGATATTTCGCCATATTCAGTTCACTTTAACAAATTACACCGAGTTAATGTACTCAATTGACTTTGACAAAGTAAGGTCGGATGCACATTGATATCTGTTCCTTGATACTTATTTGAACTACTAAATCATCAGCGTCAGCAAGTAAGAGTAAACACTTGAGAACTGAGTTGCTTGATTACAATTTGTTGGTTATATAATCATATATAATCATAGTTTCATGATGCACACTGATCAGTGAGGTACATTCATTAACAAAAACAAAGGTTTCAAAAATGTTTTAATAGAATTAATTCTATTGTTGGAGGCTGTACATTTCAGTTCGCTTACGGAATACGAACTCTGCATGATTTCTCAACGGTACTATACAGTGTGATCAAACCCAAATCGATACTATTTCTAACTTCTTCATTATTGCAGATACGAGTTCGGGTACATTAGAGAACTCATAGTGTATTTCAAAAAATGTGTTTGATAAGACACCCTATATATTTCTGCCTTGATCGGCTGCTAACTCTTTTCTGAATTTGATGATTGGATGATATTGTTATCCATCATGTCCATCATTTGCACACAAAAATAAGTTCTTTTATCAAGATCGTCTTTCATGAACTCCTGAGTAGGTATCATTTTATAGGGATGCATTTTGTTTTCTTTTAATATGTTTACTATCGATTTATGGCTAACATAACCGTATTAGGAACCACACGTTGAAAGGTAAGACCTCGTTGGTCCTTAGCTCGCAAAAGTTTCTCAACTTCTGACAATTGTCGTTCGTATGAGGGCGACAGCTGATTAACGGAAAAACAGATTTCAAACAGATTTTTAAACATTGAATGTAGTGGATGCCTGTCTACTCGATGTATGCGTGGGTTTTCCTTAAAACTCAGGCATCATATCTAATTTGAGTTCATCACTTATTGCATTGACAGCTGTTTTTTTTATCTGCCCAACATAACCAAGCTCGCGAAACTGCTTTTTTTATTTTGCTTATTGTTCCTTGAGATATGGGCTGTAAATTAGGAAATTCCTCATGAAATAGGCGACCTAATTCTGTTGTGTTCGAGTTTTATCTTCGTAACCAATCATTTGTAAAACTGTTATTTTATGCATATCTCCCAACACCAAACACCTCCACACGTGTTTCGATCACCAAGTGATCATCTTCAAGAGGAAGATTAATCTTCCTATTCACTGTATGTATTTGTTCCATTTAAAATTTGTATAACATGTGCCGTGTGTTTATATTTGTTTTATCTTTAGTATTCAAGTATTCTAACTATTGTTTTCATTCTTATGTAGCACAATTATTGACTTACCATGTGTACATTAAGTATCGATAAATTTATCATCATTATTTTTATTGATTGTGATGCACTATTTGGAACCTATGGTGGAGTAATGAAATTGACTGGAGCTTTATTCCAACAGCAAACCGTTATTTTCAACACCTCGACACGTGTTTCGATCACCAAATGATCATCTTCAAGAGGAAGTTTTTAAAAGAAGAAGAAGAAAATAACGGTTTGGTGTTGGGATAAAACTTCAGTAATATTCATTTTTATTAATACTGTTTCCGTTAACCAGCTGTCGTTGCCCTACGAACGACAACCCTCAAAAGTCGAATCTTGTTCGATCTAAGTATTAACGAGGTCCCATTTTAGAACACAGACAATATAAACGTCGATAACCTAATGATTTTCAAGTTTCACTTGTGAAACATTAGTAAAGTCATATCTATCAGATAGAGATCAGTTTGATGCTTTCAATAGAAAAAGGTCGACACTATTCAGACCAATCTCTGGCGCTCCTCAGGGATCAATTCTAGGCCCACTTTTATTTATAATGATCATTAACAATATAGGTGATTATATGAGACATTCCAAATTCCTACTCTATGCAGATGATTTCAAACTATACCAAACCATCAACGATGAAAGAGACAGTGAAAACCTTCAAAAAGACTTAGATTATATCACTATCTTTTGTGAGACGAACAACTTCAGGTATGCTGAATGAGGAAAAATGCAAAGTTATGTCTTTTTCACGGAAAAATGTTATTACTCCAACGGAATACTCAATAAATGGCACCAAACTGGAAAAACTTGCTCAAATCAAAGATCTAGGAGTCATATTTAATAGTAACTTCAACTTCAGAAATCACATGGAATATATTGTACGTGATGCAAACAGAAAGCTTGGTTTTGTATTAAGAAATGCCAGGGATTTCAAATGGGAACTAGGAATTTTTCTATTCAATGACTTTGTCAGATCAAAGCTTGAATACGCTTCAACAATTTTGAATCCGCAAACAGCATTTCATTCAGAGATGATAAGAAAAAATACAGAAGAAATTTCTTAGGTACACCTACTTCAAAAAAAATTAAGTTTCCTTCTATGATCTCCTATAGGACTCAACTAGAACATTTTGACATGCCAACCCTGTCGGATCATCGAAGCGTGAATGATGTACTATTTATATTCAACATATTTAATCAGATAATAAATGTACCTGAATTCCTCTGTGTGATCAATCTTCATGTTCCTAGTGCTAGTCTAAGAAATCGCAACAGGGTTTTCTATGCAGACACCCGATCAGAGTCTCCACTCAATCGCTGCCTCAGGCAAGTCAATGATCTAGTCGTAAGTCATCAAAGTCTTGATTTTTTTGCTGTGATGAATTAGAATAAAACAGTCGTTTTAAAAAAAATGTGCCATATATACCTGTTTTTATTAATGTTTTTCTTGTACGTAATTTTAGTTGTTTATTTATTCTGTGTATTGTAAAATCATATAATTTATGTACCATGACATTGACTGTATACATGCAGTTTAAATAAAATCTATATCTATCTACAATTGCTGAAATGAAAATTGATGATTTCATGTTAAAACAATACACAATAATTGATACATAATAGTAGGCATTACAGATTTATTTTTTCAAATAAACGCTTAAGCTGTAACATACTACTTCATTGTGACTATTTATTTGGGAATGCATAAATGCTATCATTTTTGATGATCGCTACTTGTCAATCTAGTATGCATTAATGGGGAATGTTCCTCCTGACGAAAATCAAGTAGTTTTCATAAAAGAGCTCTAAAACAAAGCATTTTAAACTTATCATTTCAACCTTTTTCTTTAAAAAATATTAAAATAATCCAATAACAATACTATTTTAAATATATACCAGTTCACTCTTAGAAATTACATACATCCAAGTATATCATAATACAATTCATGAAGCAAATTAACTCTACTGCACTAATCATTTATATACAGTCTTTGTCATTTTTTCACACCGCAGTTCATAAGTTCCACAAGAATTGGTAGACGATTTTTTTCTGAGCAGCGCAGCGATAGATGTTATACCTATATAGTTACAAACATATTTACGGTAAGTTTTTTCATAGCTACAATGTACGAGTCCAATTCATTCAAGTACAGATACAGCAGAAATTAACTGCTTGTTTTTACATAAAGAATGTTTTACAATAAAGGAACTAGGTACAAAAGTAAGGACCAAGGAGGTATCAAGTGAAATACAGTGGATCATAAGTGTATCAAGAGACGAAGTCACTTCATTGATAAGCTCTTTTTCAATTTGTCCCAATCATCCACATTAATCTGGTCTTCTTATAACCTTAAGCTGTTTACAGTGATGAAACTGAAGAACAAAATGTTTATTTTCTATAAGACTTGCACAGTGCCGAAATTGTATTCCAAATATGTGGAGAAATGATTACATTTTTCAAAAATTTACTGTTACCAATAATATTTTTTGGTAGAACATATAACTAGCCTCTTGGGGAAAAACGAAAAAATTTAAACAAACTGCCCAAAAGATCAAGTTATGAAACTCCGAACAATGAAAATCTATAACGTATTCAAGAAACACTAACCAGTTTTACAAAAACCCAAAACATATTTCGCTTACAGAACCTGCTCAAAATTATAATCAGGAAGAGGGCTCCCCCTAAACCATCATCTGTCACTTCATCCTTTAGAGTAAAACAGCAGGGATAGGATTATCTCCAGGATAGTTTCTTAATAGTAAAAATATGGCTGAACAAAAAATTAGCAAAAAAAGATCCCATCGGCTTACTAGAAATCGATAAGATATTGGCCAGTTAAGCTGACAGCTGACACTCGGCAGAACATAAATGGCGTTTAGTCAAAACAGGAAGAAAACAAGTGACATCAGACAAACTTTGAAGTATGATATGTTTTTTACCTGCTCAATCTCGAAACCTAAGATCAATCATATTTCACTCAACCCTTCCTGAGGTTTGAAGGTTTTTTGGAATTTGGGTTTACATATTGGAATCATGCATATAACTTTCACGAGTCGAGACATGAAAATTATATACAATACATATGAATAAATTATGACTAAAGTATACAGCTTATAAACATTCAATGCAATCGAAAAAATAGAAATAGAATCCGACAATACGGTGAAGTATCAACAAAAATAAATATACAAAGAATAAAAAATTAAAATTCACTTGAAATAATTGATTGTAATGATCTGAAAATGTCAAAATCGAAATTTTCTCAAAAACCTGATGTTTCCAAATTAAAATACAAATAACTTCGTTCACAGATGTTGGTTTTTCATTCGGAATTTGTTTCCACAACTAAAAGAAATAGTGAATCATCATCGTTAGAATCCCAGTTCATCATCAGGTAATTCAAAATTGACATTTCTGAAGTGACATAGCACCGAAAAAAATTTAATTATACTACATAGTTGGCAGTACACGTCAATATAACTGCATCATCTGTAACATATCTAATTATTGAAACAAAAATAGCAAGAAGCAGAAAAATATCACAGTTGTTGAAAAATATTCGATTTAAATAAAATATATATGTATATGTGCATGCTAGTTAGTAATAATGAACGCTACAAAAATCATATCACAGCTTCAATCACAGATTCGACTTTCAATAAAGATCACGCAAAAATCATATCAACATCTACAAAAATGACTAGACCAGACAAACATCATCTCATATTTCCACAATGAGAGATTTTCACACACTTCACAGCTTCTCTCAAACTATGGACCATTTTTTTATATATGAAAATGAAAAATTACTGGCTTTGTTCATAATAACCTTTTTCACCTGCTAAAAATCTAAATTCTGATTCAAGACCTGAAGTAAAACGTACAAAATAACATTTTGTACGAGAACATTTCAAAAAGAAACGGAAATATTACCATGTTAGACGTGAGGTGAAACATATAAAATAACATGTTGTACAAAAGCACTTCAGAAAGTAATCGTATTATTAATTTTAGAGAAAAATAAGAGGTAATATGGCATATCACCTCGCATATGCTGGTGCATAATGTTCTCAGAAGTTGTCTTTAAACGAAATAAATGTTAGACCGTCTCCTACAGTCTCGACGAGAACACATTACATAAAAAATGTAGCAAGTAATAGTTTGACCCACACTGCGATAATTTAACATGTCCAGGAATGCCACTTGACGACTAAAAAAAGTTTGGCGTTTCTATGACATAAACCAATGATTACATAAATTTCAGTTTGGAATCAGAAAACGAATTAAAATACTGATGAAAAAACTAGTAAGTTTCTATAATTTGCCAAATATTGGGAAACAAAGTACCGTGAGTTAATGTTATTCAAAAAACATGCAAACTCCTTCATATCAGTCACACACTTGATACATCCTTACCACTCGTTCTTATAAAAATTCCATATTCAACAATCAGACTCATTAATCTTGATCTATGTCATTACAATATTGAATAATGAGGTTCAAAGAAAGAAAATAATGGAATTTTGAGGTGACATCACATTGAAAGATTTTTTTTAAATAAAACTTTCCCCTATCCTACCCAAAATGTGACAAAAGTAATATTAGCAAAAACTTTTTTGAAGTGTAACAATGAAAAACATTTGTTGCTTTTTCTCATTTCTTACTTTAGATTCGATACATTTTTTCACTCAAAAATATTTATTTTCAAGTATGCACCAATTAATTATCTTCAATTTTTGGAAACATTTAAGAGGTTCATAACAATTTCAGAATAGCTTGCCATGTACATGTCAACAATTTTAAAAATTTGTAAAAACTGAATCGATATCTCTCTACATATGCAATTTCCAACTACGAAATACTCTTATTACATGAGTGGATGGACAATGGGAATGTACACTGTTTATAAAGTTATAAACTTCCCCATTTTTAATTATAAAATATCTAAATATTCAGTCAGTTAAAGAGAACAAAACCTGGGCAAATACTGTTGGAAATACCCAATGTTCTCTTATTTGATATTTGTGGCGACATCTACCTATGTATAATGTATGCAATATCCATATTGTTAAATGGCAGCACTACCATGCATTTGTTTTGTATTTAAAGCAGTTGAATAAAAAAATTTATCACGACTACAGCCTTTGTCTTCAACAACTTTTGCTTTATCTATAAAAATCTGCTATTCCAACAACGGGTTATGGTTCCAGATGGCTCATATCACATTTAGTTATCTCTTCGAACAGCAAAATAAAAACAATTTGTAGTGTCGCGAGTCGCCTTCAGTTCCTGTTCCTCTTAAAAGAAAGATGGCAATTAACTACTTAACAAGTGTGCTGAAGCTTTTAGGCAGTGAGAACTATGATGACTAAGCGTTTGCTGTCGAAAATATTATTAATCTCCAAGGCTTGAATTAATGTATCGATGACAAAGAGACAGATACGAAGACTATCAAAAAGGCAAAGGCTAAGCTGAACCTCACTCAATGGGGCACGTGAAATATGCAAAAACGGCCGAGGACGTGTTGACGAGTCTGAAAAACCTGTACGATGACAGTGGATTCATGCGTTGAAATAGGTCTCCTACGCACACTCATATCATCAAGATTGAAAAAACACGATAGCATGAAAAGCTACATAAATCAAATTGTCGAGACATTCCAGAAATTGAGACGGACCGGTTTCAATATCGAAGAAGAATGGGTGGGGTCACTCATTCGGGAATCAACATTACTGCTCATATCATCAACACAAATTTGTTGGTCATACAGATGGCGGCACCTTCGGTGGCAACAACGGTGCGTTTGCGGCCAATCGATATCCCAAGCCAGGCTTCCAAAAAACGAATAGAGATGGCGATAGTAGGATTAATTTACGAGGCAAATCAGCTGGAAGAGGTCAAGCCTAAACATCGAACCATGAGGTTGGGGGTCATTCGAGTTCAAGTTCAACACGTGTTGTAAATTAGAAGGACCTCAACAACAGTATTTGCTAGAAATGCAAAAAAAATGGTTACTATATGTCCAAATGCCCTAATACTAATGGATCCAAAAGTGGGTTTAGTGCTGTGTTTACGACAAGCAATTTCACTTGACTGCCAGCAAATAGTGGTAAGTCAACATAAGAAAACCAGATTTGCAGGGGATTGTGGAATGAATCAAAGTGGAATGTGCAGGTGACATTGAAATGAATACACTCACAGATTAAAGACATATTTTATTGAAAGGGGTTCAGTATGCCCTTTGTCTAACCTAACCTAACCTTTTGTCCGTTTACCAATTCATTAAAAATGGCTATTGAGTATGTTTCAGTGAACATGGATGTCTCATTTATAATCCAGAAAACGTACTGGTAGCTTCAGCTAGCCTGAATTACAACGTTTATAAATTGGATGTTTATGAAATCACTGTGAATAGTGAAATTTGGCATAGGCCCTTAGGATATCTAAACAATTCTTACCAAGACAAGACAGCGAAATTAGTAAGTAAGTAATAAAGGGCAAACTAATGTGCAAAACTATGAAGTCTGCTGTAGAGGCAAGCAAACTCGCCTTCCATTTCCCAAAGAGGGAAGTTGAGCAGGAGTATTACAACATACATCAATGATTACAGTCGCATGAGCATCATTTACTTCCTGAAGACCAAAGATGAGACATTCAAGAAGTTTAAAGAATTCAAAAATATGGTGGAAAATCATAAAAACCTGAAGATAAAGATCCTTAGAAGCGATAATGGTGGTGAATATAGCAAGGAATTCAGCAGGTGTCATCAAACCTCAAATAGCCATACACCACATCAAATTGGCATGGCTGAGATACTGAATTGGACCCTAATTGAGAAGGCAAAATGCCTTATATTTGATGAAGGCCTTAGTGACTGATTAATTTCATATACCTCTCAAAATTTGAATTTTGAAACCGAGTTTTTGGGTTTATATTATCATTTCCCTTTTTCTGGAAATGATTTTAACATTAATCTCTCATACACCAAGCTCAATTGATGAACATGAATGTGATCCCATAATATTAAAAAATTTGCTGTTAAGCTAATATTTTCATGTATAATGAAATCAAAGATAAAATGAAATATTAGTGTAATGTATTGAAATGGTTTCAATCGTTCCTAGAAAATAAGCTACAAGTAACTAAAATAGTTGAGTCAGTATCAGATTGCACGAGTTGTAAGTTTAATAGCAATGAAGCATATTCTGATTCCATCAACTAGATTTAGAGAATCATCAATCATCATATAGTTCAGAACTTCTAAATATATTAATAGATTTGAAATGAATATAACTCCGTAATCTTCCCACTAAATCATTCAATGCAAAGTCAACCTCGTTTCGAAAACTAATTAAAAAAAAAGGACAAGCTATATGGGTCTTACATCGATACTGTTCTAGAATATGAATGTCGCAACAAAAGATAATATACCTGCTCCAGTACCTCACGGTTTTTCCTTTTCCTCGATTTTTTTTTCACCTTCACATCTTCAAAGGTGTCGGACTGGTCAGCGATGCCCAGACGCAGATGAATTGGCAATTTTCCATCTGAAAAAGAAAACAAGAAATATGTCCTTCAGTAAGTTACTACCAAGCTCGATAGCGTACATTGAAAACAAAAGCCACTGTCCAAACAAGCTCAAGTAATAATTACTGATCGATGAAAAAATTGTGGAAACAAAATGAGTTATTTGAAAAACTACGGAGAAATGCAGATATTATGGAAATATCAATTTGCTCAACAACCTATGAAGGTGTGAAAGGTCACAGAATATTTTCTTCCACAATTGACAGATCGAAACTGTCAGCAGTTTTACAGAAAAACAAAGCACCGTTGGAACTGAATAAACTCTTTGATGACATTGTTGAAGCTTTTTATATATCTATAGTGGTTTATGGTCAATTTGTAGACAATTCCAAAGCTCCAACCATCAAATTCTCATGCAAAAATTATCGAAATATGGTATAAGTTGTTAGATACAATGTTGGTTTTCCAAACATTAATCTATTCATTTCACTTGCTGCAAAGTACAAAAAAGAAACTTATTTCTCTATATACAATAGCAAAGAAAAAATCAAAGGAAAATTACTTTCAAATGAATTAGTAAAAGAATTCATGGAAAGTGATTTTTATCAATTAATAATGTTTTTGATCTTGATTTGAAAATATTTATATTACGGGCTGCTTTTAGAATCTCATCAAATTTGTTGATAAGTTTTGTTCCAGGATAGAGATGGCTTTATGAATACACTGGCCCGTTATTTGATAAAAATTAACGGTATCGAGAGCTTCATCAGTTGGACTAGTGCATCAGACTATTTTACAATGTCTTTTATATAATAGTAGGTAATTACAAAACTCAAGTAGATAGATAATTAATTCTGTTGACACGACTGATCTAGAAAAAAAATAGTTACCAGGAAAAGTCTACCATAATCATTTGATAAAAACCCTGCTAGCTACTTCAATATTCAGCTTGATGAAGAATTAGAAAAATAATCAAGTGATGAGAGTGAAACCCAAACCCCAGTAGAGGATATAGAAGATATTAAATAAGCAGATTTCATCCATGCAAGTTTCATATGTGGAGAAGGAATGCTTCAAGATTTATATACAGTTATATACAGTACATTTTCAGATGATTTAACAATAAGCTTTGCACGGACTGGTTATTAGTCATATTAGGAAAAGCTTCCAGAAATTCACGTAAGTTTTCGGTACTTCTTGAACATTTACCACAAAGTAAACAAGTGAGGATTTTTCCAGCAAAAGTAAATGTGTGTACCAAATGATCAATTTTCAACAGGAAGGGTGTCCCAAACGAATAAACAAACAAACAGAGCAAGCTAAATAAAACTATTTAATGTTCAAATTTCGCGGAATAAGTAGTTTTGATTAGCGATTTTTTCATTATTTTATGTTGGTACACTCGTTAGAAGTGTTTTACGTGATCGGCAATTTTATGCTAACAAAAACAGATCAAAGAATTTGCAGCAAAGTTTGTGTAAATAGAGTGCATAAAAATACTTGAAATATTGACAGTGGCATACAGTGATTGTACTCAGAGTCAGAAAAATGTTTACAAGTGATACAAAAGGTCAGAAGATGTTAATGACGATGCTCGTCCTAGACGCCCCAGCACATCAACGACAGATGAAAATGTAGAGAAAGTGAAAAAAATTGTTATGGAGAATCGTCGAATCACTATTGGATTAAATCTGAAAATATTAAGCTTTTCCGAATTTTCAGTAAATGCGATTCAGAACTGGACCATAATTGGTACATTTAGGTTATTTTCTTTCACACTCTTGAAATAAAATAAATATTATCACTGTTATAACTGAATTGTCAATAAACCTTGACAGAAAATTATTGTTGATTATTTATCACCCTTATTTTAAACTGTCGATTATCTATAATCCTCAACTTAACAGTTCAACTGTTGGTAATGGCTAATAGACTGTTTCAATTGTCAATTATAGATAGTTCAAACTGTCGATTGTCCATTATTACAGATGAATGGCCATTTGAACTGTTGATTATGACTGATTGATACTTTGAAGAGTCAATCATGGCTAATCAACAGTTTAAACTGTTGATTATAGATAAGTTCACACTGTCAATTATAAAAATACTCTGTGGCCTTTCAGCCCCTTCATGACAACCTAAAAAAAAAAAATAATATTCAAAAAGTTTCAGTTCAGTAATAGATTTCAAATAATAGAAAATTTAAATAATTTTTCCAGTGTCACATCAGTAGATTCTGAAGCTCGTCTCGACATGCCTTATATGGAAATAATAAAACTTGTGATACCTGGTCTGCGATAGTATCTAAATTTGAATTGTCTACGCTTGTATCGAGGCTTGTACACACGAACTTTTCTCTCTGTTTTGCAGGCAACACAAAACTTTCTTGAAAAATAATCAGCATGCAGTATTTCTCTAACAGCCGCAATCTCTAAATACAACAAAATCGTACTTAGTTTCACAGTCAAAAAATTTCAATGGACCCTTTCATGTCACCTCTTTTAATCGATATTATGAATTTCGCTTTCTACTTCCACATTCACCTATCGAAAACGATTTTGAGTGTGCAACACTTACCACTGTGAGTAATACTCTTGTCCCGCGACTTCTTTTTGGACTTCTTGAAGACGGCTCCCTGCAGGGCAAATTGGAGTAACCTAGAAGAGACTTCTTCTTGTGCTGGTAACTTATTTAGCTTCTCAGCTCTTTTTCTACTGAGTTGAGCTCTGAGATCTCCTGCAAGAAATACATATAATATGTTAGGTTATAGTATAAAATTTCAAGAGAGAGAGAGACCACTTCTGAAGAAAGTAGCTATTCTTGCTCTCAATTTTTTCTGCCAAGTTGTATTATGTACTCTGTATTTTATTAAGTAAAACTTCATTATATAAAAGAATAGACTGTTCTATGATTCAAACAATAATAATAAAGGTGGTTCTTCAATTTCTTGTTTATTTTCTTGATCATCAATTATTTCAAGTTGGTAAAGGACTTCAAAAGCTCTAATGCAAGTAGCTATGATCATGTCTTGAATAATCTTGAAAAATCTACAAATGAACTGTCTTTACTCTTTGTTATTTCTCATAAATCTCTCTGTGGTACATGGATTTTTTTTTCAAAAAACTGAAAATGGCACTGGTTATTCCTATCTTTAAAAAAGGTGACCATAATGAGTATGAAAACTATAAATCATTTTTGAACTCCAAAAATATCTCGCCAAATCAACTGGCAATAAATCATTTATTCATTTCCCGCCAAATGAAAATTTGTATTTGCACCAATCAGAAAACTTTCAGATCAACGGATGACAGAACTGCGTGAGTGTAGTCTTATTTCCTTTGGAAAATTATTTTATATTGAAAAAAAAAATTACAAGGAAAAAAATCACTCACCGTCATTCACTGCAGAATTCTCCTCCTCCTCGCTATCATTAAAAATCAAATCAGATTTCATTTCCTCATCTTCATCTTCAACTTCTACAGAGATTTCACAATCGCTTTCAACCGCTGCAACCTTCTCATTCTTGATTTGGATCTTTTCCTCCTCCTTTTTCACAGACCTAGACTTTGTATTCTTCTCATACTTTGACGGATTCTTGATTTTAATCTCGATCTTTCTCTCAAACTTCCTATCCATGACCGGAGATGGTTTCTCACTCTTTCCTGATATTCGACGTTTAACTTGCGCTTTTTCCTGAGATTCTATTTTCTTCGGGACTGGTTTTTCCTTGGACTCTCGGTGTGATTCTCGCCTACTACTAGATTCCCTTCTGCCAGCCGGAGAACGAGTTCTGGTCCTCCTGTCACTAAATCTGCTGCAGTAGCTTCCCCCTCTTTCTCTGTCTCTAGTATCCCTTCGAGTATCTGGCAGAGCCTCAGATTTTATCTCTTCCTTGGCACCATTCACCAACTTCGTGAAAGGCAAACTTACCACTTTTTCATTAGCTTTTTCTTTGACTTTGAAACGTCCCTCATTGTCGCTGGCGAAATCATCGTCTGAAAATATATCTTCCACCTTTTGGTCCAGTACGATTTCATCATCTTCGAGTAAAGCGTCCTCGTTGAGCAGCTTCTCCAGTTCTTTGAACTCGTCGGGATCCTTGTCAGTGTCTTTTTTTGTTGGATCAACTTTTTCCAACTCTTCTTCAACTATTGGCTGCGGAGGAACTTCCACGGGCACCTCCGCAGGTTTGTTCTCCTTTGGCTTCAGCCTTATGATGCCTTTCTTGCCAATTTCGTTTGTTTCGAACTTCCTCTTTCGTGCCTCAAGAACTGGGTCCAAAGGTACCACCTCTTTCTGGGGCACAACCTCTTTCTCTTTAGATGCTCTGTTCGAATTCCCGTTTCCAGAATTATTAGGTTTGCCAGACCCCAGTCTTTCCCGTACCCTGGGCCTATTTGTAGGAGAATGATCACTATTTGGAGGTTTTACTCTTCTAGGAGATCCGGACCTCTTGTTCGGGGATAGAGATCGCCTTCTGGGGGACAGTCTACGGGGGGATCGCCTGGGAGAAATAGACCTCCTTGGAAACCGTCTTGGGGGGGTCAAGGACCTCCTAGGGCTTCGTGAAAGGCTCCTTGAAGGACTTCGAGAATAAGATCGCCTGGGTGACCTCCTGCGTTTTTCGATTATTGCCTTGTTTTGTAGAACAAAAGCTGCACTCCTCGGAGATAGAGGGGCCCTTGTGGTCGTTGTTAAAGATTCGGTGTTGATGGCAAGTGGTGACAATGGTCTGTCGAAAAACATTGGCATTTGTGGTGGAATGACACCTGGAGGTGCAAACATTGGATTGAACTGCTGATTTGGGAAAGGTAAAATGTGTGGCTGAAAATGATTCGGAGGCGGACCATACTGCACATGAGGAGGTGGAACAAGAGGAAAATTTATTGCATGGTTGGAGAAATTCCTGTGGTTTGTTCTTCTGTGGAATGCTCTTCTACTGAATGGAGACCTCGATCTGACAGGTCGTTTACTGGGACTAGGAACATCTGCAGGTATTGGTTCAATTTTTGCTAGGTTCATAGGCTGGGCAGAGATTTCCCCTGCAACTTCTTTCTTTTTTGTTTCAATTTCCTGGATATTCTTTATATCTTTATCAGGCTCTTCAACATTTTTCTCAAGATCTTCACTGTCATGTTTGGAATCTTGATTCTTGAGTTCAGACTCTGACACTGTCCTTTTCTTCTTCTTTACTTTTTTCACTTTCGGCTTATCCTCCGCAATTTGATTATCTTCTTTAGGTTTTCCTTGAATTTCATTATCTAGTTCTTGCATTAAAGCTTCCAAACTATCAGCTCTTTGTAGTTTTCCTCCAGTAACTTCATCCTCTGAAGAAATATCTCCTACATCTGATTCTGATTCAGATTTATCTGAATTATTATAACGGCTGAACTTGCTTGTGCCTTCTTTTTCAATCCCTTGTTGCTCATCTGATGTTTTACTGTATTTTTCTTGTGGTAGGGTCAGTGATGCAGGAGATTTCTGTGCGACTGTGTCTTCAACGTTTGCTTCATCTAATACAGGTGTTATGGATATCAGGTTTGTACTTCGAACTCGATTGAATTGGACCTATAAATACAATTTTTAATTTTACAGAGTTTCATGTGTCTATAACTTTTTCTTCATCTTCAACTGCAGTTCAATTGATCGAAGATCATTATTTACAGAAACTTCGCAGTGGTTCTATTCAAAAACTATCAGAATATAAACATTTGGGGTTCAAGAGCACAAAATTTCACTACAGCCTATAATGACTCACACTGTTAATGGATTTCTTGAAACCTTACGGCAAGTATTTGTGAAGCTCTTTACTCTTATGTCTACAGACAAGTTATAGACAAATTCGTGTTTCTTCAAGAAAATGAAACATTAATTGAGGTGTCCTTTAACGTAGTGTTTTGGGACATATCTTTTTATATTGGAATTATAAAAAACTGAAATAAGTGGTTTTTTTACTGCAATTAGATACGGTCGTGTTTTCTTCAAGACTTGATGAACAGATAGGAAGATTCGTTTGAATTTTCTCAAAATTCCGGAGGTCGGGTCTCGACTAAGTCTTTTGTATGTCCTTGGATGGAGTAAAACAATTTTCTCATTGTAATCCTTGGTGTTTTATCAAGACCATAGCATTTCTTTTGTCAGCAGACAATACCAAGACATTCTTATCTGTATTACCTGTTTTTACCAGTGAATTAATGATTATATTTGTTCTTTCAGATAGATAAATCAAACCTAAAATTGACTAGGTGACTGGACCATTGGTAATAGCTAATGCTTCTAGAATTTGAAATAGTTATAATTAAGGAAAAATATATCAGTCCTGCCCAAGGAAACTGTTGTATAGTGAAACACGGGTCGCAGCTTCATAAACCTTCCATAATGAAAATCTCAGTTTGCTATATTAGAAAGGTTTGATATGGATTTTCATCAGGTATTGGTCTTTTCCATTAAATTTGTGTACCAGTGGTACAATAATAAACAGACCCAGCTTACATTTTTTCCTACTCTCCCCTGATGTCCAAAATATCTTCCTCTTTTATTTCGTCCTTTAAGTGATCTGTAATGATTGCCTTTCTCGGGGCTTGAACATTGATTGTATGGTAGAGTAGAACATTCAGGGAACTCATTTTTCCTCTTCAGGGACTGTAATGCTGCTAGTCGCAAACTTTCTATGTCATCTTCTTCATCGGAACCAGCAACCTAAAAGGTCCACTTTTGAATATATTCAAAATATAATTTAATGAAAATAAAAAATACCTTTTTTAGGTTATTCATTCCTAAAATCATAGGAAGTTCTAACTAGCACTTCAAACGAGTATTGTACGAAATTTAAATTTGTTTGAACTCTTCAATATCTCATAATAAACTTATAATCGAAGAGCAAATATGGCCGCTTCAGCATTTTACGTTTGTGTGACGTGCGACATTTGACATAACAGAGGTTAGTTTCTTATGGACAATTGGTGCGTATATGGCGTAAAGAGGAAAGTGCTATGCTGTTCAATTCAACACTGGATTTACCGATTACTTTCAACGACATTCAGTATTAAAGAGACTTTAACCACAGAATACGTTACGAAAAAGGCACACAGCATGGAAAAGATGTGCAATTTTTGTGTAATAAACTTTTCAATTTTCTAAAGCCTAAATTAGAATTAGATAGAATTTCCCAGCTTCATTTTGTACATCCTTACAACGTAGGTATTTGATACAAAGTTTTCAACACTTTATAAACTATAACTATCAAAATAAAGCAGAAACTGACGTAACATTACGTTAAATTCCGTTTCAAAACCAACCTCACGTCAGTTTTGAATCATCATTAATACGTTTCAAATCATAGTTGATATGAAGTCATCGTTTCAATGCCATAATGAATGTATTTGAATCACAAACGAATACGTCATGAATACATGAGCGCCAGAAAACGCCTTCTTTGTTTATCAAACAAGTACTTGACAGTAGCAAAATAGTTATCTTCTTTTGAAGTTTAATATGTAGAAGTTGGCCATACTAATTAATCCGATTGTGTTTCATTAAAAACATCCTTGGAAAACCTAACGGATTTTTTTCACTGGTAGTGTTGTAATTCATAACATTAACAATTGTTTATTCATATTAACCCAACATAAACATCTCAACAATCATTGTCTAAATATTATTCTTACTGCCCGGCGATCTATGCACCTGGAGAGTTCTGTACTAGATGCAACGACTATAATTGGCTTACAAGATTGATAATATAGAGATAAGTACGTTTTTTCATATTTTCGGTTATTACTCAATCATTTTCATTAGATATTAGTATTAATTTGAATCATGAGGCCACTATCTGTGGTACTCATTCAATGTTTCCCCTTTATGCGAGTTTAATTTGTTTTGATTTGACACTAGTTATGTACAACTCCTTCATCATGCTCTGAACAGTTTTGGAACTATTATATAAATTGATAATTTCATTATGATAGTACACCTTTTTGGATCTTTCGGTTACATTTTTATGTTGGTTGTTAATTATATTAATTTGTTGTAGATATATTATGTCAGCTCAAGGAAAACTGCATGTAATCTAAACACTTTATTTTTTCATACAAGCTGCAGTTTGACCTACGTAAACCTAAGACATGATCCGCATGACAATTTATAAACGCCTAATTTTTCTGATACCCAACTCTTGTCTTTATTTTTAATATGCATGGTTAAGTTATTATTGACTTTATGAGCCTTGTTCACACCTTCATTATGTAAGAACTTTTTCATGCTAATGTTTAATTGTACACTAGATTGCTATCACAACCATTGTTGATCGCGATTGTTTTATGTAACACGCAGCTCTTTATTAAAATTCACGGTAGACACATAGTCATGGTGCTATATGCTACTTTGTGTTGATATGAATAGGAGGAATATGATATTATATCCATGTGGACTGAAAAACTTGTGTATTATTAAATTTTTGTCGAGTCCAGAAAATTCATTGAATCATTTTCTTTTTTATCCATAGTAAATGTGATGGAAAGGTCAAAAAAATTAATGACATCCAATACAGTTTTCATTCTCTCTCTCTCTCTAAAGTGGTTGGACTGTTGGACGTTGCTTCTTACTCCGGCGCATTTTTCCTCCTCCTGTATCGAATTGACAGAAGCTTCGTCGGGGGGGAGGGGAGGGCAACGGTCTTGCTCGAAGCAATGCTGCCACTCCGTTTTTATCGAACTTTTAATAATAAAAAACAGTAGTTTTTTCAACATAAAAACAATTTGATTTTTTTGAAGTCGCCTCCTGCTTGGGAACCTTCAGTTTCCTATTCATTCTGGTGAAATATACTAGAACGTCATTGACATAACAAGCATAACATAACAAATTTCCCACCTGCGGGTTACTGGGTATTTTTCGTTCAAAATCATCCATGGAAATTTCTGTCAACAGAGGTTCGGTTTATCTATGAATGCGACAAGTAGGCCGTTTTATAGGTTTCGATTAAGAATTGTTGGATTTACCTCCGATGACTGTAGGCTAACGTAAACGATGAATGGAGCAGTAGTTAATAAAAGTTAGATCGGGTTGAGCATGCCCATCATCCAAGGAAATATTAATATATATTACTGGCCACAGTCTGTGACATGGCAATGATTGATGTAGTTAAAGTTTATTTTTGTTGTAGACGAACTATAGCAAGTGATTTGTCAATCCTACTGGCCCAATAATGGAAAAATTTATATTTTCGCAAGTTTACATGTACTACTGTTCCAAAAATAAGGTAAATGTTCGAATTTTGTGGGCCACGTACATTCGATTAACGATTTTTTATTTTTGTATGTTGGTACACTCGTCTCGAACATATGTTCACACTTTCAGCTGTTTAGCATATTTAGTTTGTCGGTGAAAAGCATAAAAATTAAGAGTGTTCGGCCATTTTCTGCTATCGAAAAAATGGAAGAAAGAATTTGCATCCAATTTTGTGTCTGAAAACGGAATTAAGTGCTCAAAAACATTTGAAATTTTGACAGTGGCATACGGTGATTATACACTGAATAGGAAACATATTTACAAGGTGTTACAAGTTTCTCACAGAAGTTCGAGTTGTGAATGACGACGCTCGACCTGGTTGAGGAAGTGCTGCTAAATCGAATTGGGCACCTACTCGAACTACCAACAAATCAGTCGAGTTTACATAACCACAACTCACAAAATTTTTAATACTGTTAATTATATTTTTTTGATATAAATAATTCTGGTTATCCTTCTGATACCAATTGGACATACACCACCCACTTAAATTCTCTACAAAATGTCAACTTTTCAACAATGAAAATAACTGGTATACCTAATCGGAACCTATGAATCGGCGAAATGCTGCAAGATGATTAAACTAAAGTTTAAAACAAACCTATATAACGGGCTCTTAGTGAGTTAACTATTATTGGACTTTTGCATGACGAATAAAAAGTTTCTATGAATTGGAAGTAACTCTGATAGACTGACCGCAAGTCTAATATAGGTACTGTAACAAATCTGAAGCCGTCCTTGACCGATATGGCGGCTAACGAACAAACACATGACATTACCGCAAAAGGAATGCAGTCGGCAACCGCCGATAAATCTCTAGTCGAGTATCGAACCGACTACGGATTTCGAGAAAGAACCGTTACACTATATAAGTCCAGCTTCCTGACTCAAGGAGGAGTTCAGAAAGTGAATCGAGCAGTTGAACAAGGAATTCAAATAGTGGAAATAAATTAAGCGTTAGTTGCTAAGTGTTGTAAATAAAATAGTTTGTGATTAGTGAAATAAATTTGTTTAAGGCAGTTAATTCTTTAATTTGTTACAATACGTTTTACTATTGGTTTGATTGACCTTTTTTCCAAACATTTCTCTACAATACTGATAGTTTCATTTAGAGAAATACTGAGAAAAATATTCTTTACATCGCACATACCTAAAGTTTTCAATTCTTTTGTCCTTTCGTCGGAAGTTCTACATTTTCTATATAACGAGGTAGAAGTACAAAATGTTTTTTACAAAAGTTCACCTTTCCTAAAAAATATCCCACTGTTCCACAGTAATTTATCAAAAATAATGAGCCTACAATTATGATATTGAATAACAAGTAAACAATGAATTATTTTACTGAATGAAATGTTTATCAGAGTCCTGCTTTGCTTTCTCTACATCGTGAATGATCAAATGTCGGCTCAAATGAATCTTTTGTGTGAATTGTTTTTTGCAAAAATGACACTGAAATGGTTTTTCTTTAGTGTGAGTCCTCAAATGGATTTTCAATTGATATTTCAAAACGAAACCTTTTTCACAAATTCGGCACTCAAAAGGCTTTTTACCCTCATGTTTATGCAAATGCCGCTTTAACTGAGATTTTTGCACGTAACATTTTTTGCAAATTTCGCATTCGAATGGCCTTTTTTCACTAGAATGAGAGAACAAGTGATCTTTAAGTTGATCCTTTCGAATAAATTTTTTCTTGCAGTGGTGGCACTGAAAGGGCTTGTCATCAGTGTGAATAAGCAAATGCCGCTGTAAACTGTAACTTCTACTGAATCTTTTGTCGCAAGAATGACACTTAAAAGGCTTCTCTGATGAATGACTGAGTACATGCCGGTTCAGTTTCGATTGCTGAGAGAAGCGTTTTTTGCAGACGATACATTCGAATGGTTGGTCTTTAGAATGAGTGAGGACATGGTCAATCAGTTGACTTTTCCGGATGAAACTTTTCTCACAGTTGTGACACTTGAAAGGTTTATCGTCGGTGTGAATGAGCAGGTGCCGCTGCAACTCGGAACTTTTAATGAAACTTTTTTCGCATAAATTGCAGTGGAATGATCTTTCGGCAGTGTGAGTAAACAAATGTCTACCCAGCAGGAACTTTTGGACGAAACGTTTTTGGCAGATGTAACATTGGAATGGCTTTTCGTCAGTATGAATGAGGGAATGATTTTTCAACTGACGTTTCAGAAAGAAACTTTTGTCGCAAGAATGACACCGAAACGGCTTTTCTGCAGCATGTGTCATAGAATGTTCATTCAGTTGTGATTTTTTCGAGTAGCTTTTTTTGCAAACATCACATTCGAAAGGTTTTTTATCTGAATGAGTTCGTATATGTTCGTTTAGTTGACTTTTTCCACTATATCTCCTATCACAATGTTCACAGTGGAAAGGTTTTTCATCAGAATGAACAAGCAGATGTCGTTTTAAAACATAACTTTTAGCGAAACTTTTTTCGCAGAAGTTACACTGGAATGCCTTTTCTCCGGTATGACTAAGCAAATGACGCTTCAAACTTCCCTTAATAGTGAATTTACTTTTGCAAAAATCACATTCAAATGGTTTTTCGTTAGTGTGAGTCAACATGTGGCTTTTCAGCTGATGTTTCTGAATGAAACTTTTCTCGCAGCAATCACAGCGGAAAGGTTTCTCACCAGTGTGAGTGTACAAATGCTGTTGTAAATGCCATTTTCGAGTGAACCGATTTTGACAGTATTTACATTCAAATGTCTTTTTTGGGGAGACGAGAGTTTGGAATTCTGAATCGCTTTTGTAGTTTGGAGAAATTGTTTCTAGTTCATCATCAAATATTTCTTCCTTCACATTGATAAATCTTTTGATATCATCTCCAGACGAGTTTTCCTCAATAGTATCTTCCCTTGCCAATTCATTTTTCTTGAGTTCTAAATCACTCTGGGCCGATAATGCATTATCCATCGAACTTGCATAACTTTCAGTTTTCACAGATATACTCGTATTCTCAAGTTTAACGTCATTGCAAAGTGACGAATTGATAAACCATGATATTTCGTCTAGTCTGTTGATACATGCCTTACACGTGTTCATTTTAGGTTTAACCTGAAATTCAAACAATATTAGAAAGAAAGGTAGAGGTGGAACCACCGGCCTAAAACTATTCCAACCAAAAACATTTTTTGCGTACACCGGAGCTGTAACTTTTCTCGACGAGCGTTTTCATCTGACGTCATACATCAATGATTTCTCAAGTACATATGAGTAGGATACTTCCGCTAATGGAACCTTTGGCACTATTCATAGTTTTAGTTAATTGAAAATACTTTTCCCAAACCAGAACTAAAGCAGTCTCTCGACGCCCATATCGCTAGCTAAGTTAGCATCATCAGGAGATGATAAAATCGATATAATGGATGACATTCTGGAGAGGTACATTACATGTCCAAAATTCAGGTGAAAAACACCTTACCCCTTGCCTCTCATGTGGACCTACGACTTTGAAGGTATTTTATGACATTACGGCCTCGTCCTCGAGTCATGTAAGTACAAATTTAAGTGATTCTTGAATAGGTGAGTGAAAAAGTAGGGATAAGTAATCTTCAAAATACATTAAAAAACTTTGTATTTCATTTTTCCTCGAATTTTTATTCTGTACTTTGATGAGCTGTCGCGAATGATAGAAAGCGTCGTCAAGAACTATTACATTATTCGCACCCAAATTTGTGATCGATGTGTTTTCAAACCATTCCTCGAAAATGTTTTTAAGATAGTCAACATTGCAGTCCTCAAGTTTTTTCCACATAATTTCAGAGAATTCGAAACCATCCTTTACTTCCTCCGCAATGCACAATGATTAGTCGCGATCCATTGTTTGCAGGCATGTTAGGCGTACACATTCTCGAACCATCAGTCCACCCTTTCGTAACTTTGTCGTGAGTGTCATACCAAGTTTCATACAAATAGAAAATTTGCCGTTGTTCTTGTCTATATTTAGTTATTTGTTACGCAATTCCACAATTCTTCTGCTTTTCATAACTAATTGACGTTTGTCTTTTATTTTAAATCTAAATCTTAGTTTCTTTATCCAATTCTGAAGAGTTTTGTCACAGCAGCTCACGTTATGGCCGGAAGTATTCAATTTCTTCCTTATGATTTCAGTTGTAGGAATATCATTGCTTTTGTAATAGTCTGATTTTATTGGGTGAACATCTGAAGGTTCTGGTAATCCTGTATCACATCGCGTCTTGCATTCATAAAGTTTGTTTTTGACTATTTTACGTACAGTTGAGAAAGGAATTTCAGTCAAATCTAATGTTGCTTGTAATAGTTTGTTTTCTCGAACCAAACTTGAGATGTAGATTCTTATATACAATGAAACATACTCTGTGTGTTTCAATATTCAAATGCATCCGAATCTTATTCACTGGTCTCTCTTTTTCGCATTGTTCACCATCACTATTGGAATCGCTATACTGGAAAAAGTCTTCGTTGTTATCATACTCGTTATTACTATTAGTACTTGTCCAAGGAAGCCATATTTTAAACAGATAATAAAAAATTTAAGTAATCACAACTGCACCAATATCAAATTTCAACACTCAATCGCTATCAGTTCCTGAACTGAACACGACAGCTTTAACCATCCCCGCATTCCCCGATTTCATGACTTCAAATTTAATTTTATGACTCTTCAGCCAATCATATAACTCGGCTAGTAAAAATTATCCAATACGAATCGCCAATTCTGTAGTCCATATGGACTACTATTTCTCGGCCGGTTCATTTCTATGTATCGGTTTTTTGGCCTTTGCCGACAACTTTAAATGTTCACAATATCGTTTACTTCGACTATACGTGTGGCAGATACCCAACGGAAAGATAACTAACGCAGTTAATGTCGCGCAGAAATACAAATACCGTAGGTCCACATAATAGGCAAGGGGTGAGGTGTTTTTCACCTCAGAGGAAGTAACATGCTTTTCAGTCAATACGCTTCTGAAAAACAAACTGAGAATGCCTGATTGGTCGGAGGCTTGACGGGAAGCGTTTTGGTTGGTTGGTGGGGTAATTTTGTGGTGTGAAGGATCACGCTCGACACGGGGCACATTTATTAATAATAATAATAATGATAATAGGTCTTTATTCCCAGAATGATACAATGAATAAATGTGAGCATTCACTGAAACGGGAAAGGCTGAAGATCAGTTGGTTGCATCGAAAGATGCAACCTCTGTTTTTCATCTTAGGCCAATTGTTTTGTACGCGCGTCGAGGGGAGTGTTGCAGTTCTGGTGTGTTCAAGCAGTGTTTCTGTTGGAATATTCAAGATTTAAAAAAAACTCTAGACACTTACATCGATGTTGGTAATATTTTGAAATAGCTGCCAAAGATGCGGTTTCTCTTTAAACGCTGTTAAATTCCTTGGAGACAAACAAATGCAACAAACCCCAGATTCCTTCAAAGATACGTTGTTTTTATCGCCTTCACTTGCTCTACTGGTTTTATATTCTACTACTTCACTATAGTTTTCTGGCAAAAATTTAATTCTCAGAATGGCATCGTTGTTCTTAGCGATTTCAATAAACAATGATATTTCTTCCAGTGTATCAATGCATGCCTTGCATATATTCTTCGGAAAATTGATCAGGGAATGAACCTTTAAGAAAATGTTCATTTAGATTTGAAATGAAGGAGTGAACCACTTGGATGTATTCTCTACAAAATCAACCATTTAAGCAATACAAAATAAAACGATATTTAATTGAAAATTACCTGAAGCTAGCTCTGAAGTCACAAGCATTGAACAATAGAACATTAAATTGATTAAATGAGAAAATAAAACCTCGATTGGGTTCTTCGGTCGAATTCAAACAATTGTTTTGACGTCGTAGCGATTGATCAAGGTTTTTTCAATGCAAAAACAAAAAGTATGTTGTATACGAGAAGAGATATAAAATATTTCAATCATTAAATCTCAGTAATGAACAAACTACAGCAGATAGAAGAACTTAGATGTGATTGTCACAAATCTATTTAAACAGGCGAGGAAAATTTCTTAACGTGCGAACTACACCAATAACGAAATTATTTTAAAAGTACAATTGGTTTTAGGTAGGAAAGGGCTCCTGAACTTATGCTTTTGCTTGCAGCCATATTTCATTTGATAATGCAACATGGAGAATAGCAGTTGAACACAAAAACATATAATAAGACTCATGTACGATTTGAAATATAGAGAATCATGTAGATCTAACTTTTTGGAGCATCGTTTTTTACTATTACATCCGATATTTATAATCAAGTATGTAGTGTGAAAAGAAATGTTACCGATTTTTGTCTACTGTCTAAATGTCATAACTATCCTTCAAGAGAAATTACAATAAAGGTGTCAAAATTCAAAACAACTTTCGAAAAGTCCACCTTCTACAACAAGCTGCCAAATTTTCTGAAGGAAATCAGTGACTATAACAAATTTAAAAAAGATATGTTACTGATTTTTGTCTACTGTCTAAATGTCATAACTACCCTTCAAGAGAAATTACAATAAAGGTGTCAAAATTCAAAACAACTTTCGAAAAGTCGACCTTCTACAACAAGCTGCCAAATTTTCTGAAGGAAATCAGTGACTATAACAAATTTAAAAAAGATATCTAGCTAAGGGTTGCTTCCATTCTGTTGAGGAATTTCTGAATCACCAACTGTTACATATTTCATTTTATTGCCATTTCTGTACCATTTCATTGAGTAAAGCATTATATTACTGTATCTATGTACTTCATTTATTTTATTTTAGGATATTTTATGAGTTGCTCAACATGTACGATGTACTTAATCCATTGCTTGTTATGTTATGGGGTGTTTTTCAATTTTTTTTTTAGAATCAATCAGGTACATATCTGGAGCAGTGAAGTATGAGTTTCTGACAAAATATTCAACATTAGAAAGGGGTTCACCTGATTACACCGAGGATTGATGATGTATTCAATTTTTTTTTCTTTCAGCACAAGTTTCCCACTTTTTGTATAATGATAGAAAAGTAGAAAACCAAAAGTATTTTTCGGCACACTCTTTAAATCTCACTAGCATCATTGGGTAGCATCTTCAAAAACCCTCTGTTTTTGCAGCAAATCATATGAACTGTAGGTAGATTCATGCACCAGTTTCAAGTTGAAAATTATAGGTATGTGCACGAATATTCCAATTGAAATTTTTTTGATGTCAAGTGCATCAACTGCTGTGGTCATGCTTGTGTTCTAGGAAGGTAATCTCAGTAACTCCCCAAGCAACCCAAGGTGCATTCACAGAACCATACAAATTCACTTGAGAAAAATAGCTGCTCATAAATGAGTTCAACCCACAATTTCCGGATAGTGAGTGAGCCGCACTACCACTTGCGCCAATTGATAATTTACAACTTCTTATAACTGAATACTGGTGCATAAATTGACCTTATTTGTTCCTAATGTACCTAATAATGTTCTTGTCAGGTGAACCTGACAAAATTATTTTAGTGTAGGTAAATGGGTATGAAACAACTTTGCAGGCAACTTACATTAATTTTCCTGATCTCATGAAATAATTCAAATAAATGGCTTTTTTCTTGGAACAAGCTCAAGTCGCCTGGTTTCAAACAAATTCGACAAATATATGGAAAACTTTCAAGGGTTGCAATAGAGCCCTTATCATCCTCAATCTTTATCTCATCCATTTTACAAAATACTGGATAGGATTACCAATATTGTTATGTGTTGATTGGTTGAATCACACAATGCATCAATAGTTGTCAAAAATTAAAATTTTGCCATATTTGCTTGCCTGCTTCATTTTTTTTGCATCTACTCATGGCCATACATGAACTTGTGGATTATAATTTCACTGAAAAATCTAAAATAGTATAAGTACAGAGGAGCTAAATAAACACAAACATAAAGTTACCCATCTTCTTCTTCTTCTTTTTTTACCCATTTAGTCAGAAACATGACAAGTGACAAGTTGGATAAGAGAGCATTGACTGCTTAGACAAGAGAATAAGGAATAAATCAGGTTTCCAGTAGGAACTATTTGAACAGGATACATTTCCACCTGAAATGATTTATTTTATAAATATTCCTCCGATTATCAACTAAACCAACCGTCACTTACTTCAAATGTAAACAAATTCTCCAAACCTCTCATTACCCGCCACCCCCTCTACCGTAAGTTGTACAGAAAAGGATAGTCCGATACCCGCTTCAAAATACATGTATTGTATTGGTATAGGCACCGTATCGTATAGGCATGGCAACTCTATGTCTTATTGACCTTATTAAGTGTACCCATGGTTGCCAACTGCGGTAAATAATGACATTTGCTAATAAATATCTGTTTAAAAATCTGTTTTTCCGTTAACCAGCTGTCGCACCCCTTCGAACGACAACCCTCAGAGAAGCGAAACTTGTGCGAGCTAAGGATTAACGAGGTGTGATTCCTAACACAGAAAGATAAATAACATCTTTCTAAGTTCCTTCTGCATTTTCCTTTTTGGTAAATGAGAAACAGATTTCCAGAATATGGCCGAAAAGAGATTTCCAGTCGTTCTATATGAAGTTGGGGCTCCAGAATGAAGAATAAGATATTAAGAAATATGTCCCAAAAATGAAAATGCAAAAAGAACTCAAAAAGATAGGTTATTTATTCATAAGCAAATGTCATTATTTCACCGCAGTTGGCAACCATGTGGTCGCATAACTTAAGGTCAATTATTACTCTGAGAATTTACCGCTTTTGGCCTATCAGACTGAAGATGTTTTGCTTGTAGAATCATGATGAAGGCAAGTTTTGTTGTGGCTAATATTAATGCTTCGCCAGAAATATTCTAAGCTCTGATTAACTTCATACTGTATTCGTATTTTAAAAGATATGAAAACAATGTTTAAAGAAATGAGACTTTTAAAAGAAACAACGAAGATGTTACCAATGGGATAATGTTTGCAAAGGGCGTTTAGGGGTATATGTAACCCTGAAATAACCTTGTTTTCAGAATTCAACTGTTAGTTTTTACTTGATAATGGGGTAAAATCCGTAACTGGTCGTAAAAATGAAATAACTAGTGAAAATTAGACGAAAATGTTTTTCATTCCTTTCATTGAAGTGATCATGAATTTCCACAAAATAAAGTCATCAATTAGACAGATCCAGTTACTAAATAGAAATAAAAATTAGTATATTCTAATACTGTTAGATTAATAAAATCTTGCATAACATTATTAGTATGTCTTGTGTTTAACTGATCTGTGTAATGTCCAGTTTCCCACTGGGCGTATTTGCCGAATATATGCTCAGTGAGAAGAGAATCGCGCATGGCGACCCACCGCCACGTCAGCAATCGATTTTACGTGCGGCTATAAATGTTCAACATGAAAAATCGAGATCAATTAGTTTATTGAGATTTCGTTGTTAACAAAATAATGAGGAAAAATGCTACCTCAGTCAACTCAATGATGATTTTGTTTACTATTTTTTACAAAAAAGACACAGTGTCTCCACCATATTTCTCATTCTACCTAAAGATATAAAATTTTCCTAAATAATAGACCTGACCAGAATAATCACTAAAATACGTCAAGTAGCTCTCATGAAGGCTATTCTAATGATGCAATATTAAATTATTTTAATTGTATCTTTGAATTGTGCTATATAAATTCTAGCAAGAAAACACAAATGGTTTATTCGCTTTATTTTTTCTTGAGTATACAAACATTGTATTATAAAATATCTGTGAAGATGTTTTGATATATTTTCATAAATTTCCATTTTTATTGGTTGGTCAGTACCATCATCGGTCTTTTAATGAATCAACTAATGGCTCGTAACCCCCTCAATATTTGCATGCTAACAAAATCTTGAACTTGACAACAACTATGGCAGTTCAAGAGACAGCGTTGGCAAAAAAACGTTGAAAGAAATATGTCGGCTCACTGCCGGCTTCAAGTCTACCGGTAATACCAACTACCGGTAATGCCGCCAATAGTGTCGTTGAGGTAATGTTTGTAAGGAAATTATTGATAATTCATATAAAAATATTCAAATGAAAAATGAAACCTAATTATGTGAAAATTTTCTTTGAAGACTTATCACAAAGCCTCTAACTTTATACCATTTTTTTCCAAGATTTTACAAGTTATCTTTTTTTTTAATGTTACTTATACTTTTTTCCGAAGCAAGTTTTTAACCAAAAAGATGTGAATAAGTAAAACCGTTGATGAATATTCAGAGTTTTCAGTGACATCAAAAAAATTCTATAAAAATTCGAAAAAGAGATGACTTTCGGGGAATGGATGCCCATGCCACCTCATTTCGTAGTGGGATTCATATAGAATGATCCAAGAACGACTATTCAGATTGCGCTTCTAGAAAATGATTACGTAGTTAGCCTCATCCTGACTAAAACTTCCTACTTTCAAATCTCTTTTCACAATTGAACTTATTATTAGGTTGTTTCAAAAGTTTTGTCCGTTTTCATGAGTCTACTCCAAACTGTAATATCTCACATTTTTTATATCAAATAGTATTGATCTTATATCAAATACTATTAATTCTTCAAGTATGTTACTTTTGCTCTGTAAATGGGAAACTGTTGGGCAGTAAACGCTATTATTATTATCATTATTATTATTAAAATAGGATCGAAAATTGAACAACCTAATAGTATCCACTCTTAACTTCAACTGCCTTTTTCTGGTATGGGATAGCAAATTATGCAGGAATTGACTGGCTCGATGGAATCTTCTCTTGCTCGGATATTTTTCCATAAAATGTCGTTAATAGTGAAACTTTGCAACAATAACATATGTTACTTATGTTCTGGGTATTTGAGGTGGTGCCTCCGTAAACTGCTGATGGTAGTGTAACTTTTATTGCACGTCTCACACGTATAAAGCATTTTTCCTTCGTGGGTAAGCATATGCTGGCGCAAAAGATTCTTTGTAGTATAAAATTCATTGCAAATAGCACATCTATATTCTGTTTCGTCAGCATGGATGATCATATGCTGTTTCAAATGAGTCGATCTAACAAATGATTTCTCGCAGTACTGGCACTGAAACGGCCTTTCTCCCGTGTGATAACGAAAATGATCTTTCAAATGTGATTTGAGGAGAAAACGTTTCTCGCATAAACTACATTGAAAATCCCTTTTGTTAGTGTGGGTGAGAAAATGACTGTATAAATTACTTTTGTGAGAAAATCTTTTCTCACAGCAATCACATTTGTGAGGTTTTTCTCCAGTGTGAGAGATCAAATGGACGCTCAAATTATGCTTTTCTGCGAAATCTTTTTGACAATAATCACATTTAAAAGGTTTCTCTTCTGCGTGCCTGACCATATGCCGTTTGTAACTCGATTTCAGGGGAAAACGCTTTTGGCAAACATCACATTGAAATGGTAATTCTTTGGTGTGACTGAGTAAATGGATAGTCAGTTCACGTTTCTCGTCGAAATTTTCCTTACAGATATTACACCGGAATGCCTTTTTGTTTTCAGTAGTTTCACTATGTGTGAGTAAATGTTCTTTCAAGGTATCCTTATCAGGCAGAAATTTTTTGCAGAAATGGCATTGGAGAGGCTTTTCTTCAGTGTGAGTTAGCAGATGACGTTTCAACTGACACTTTTGAATAAATATTTCTTTGCAGAATTGACACGGGAATGGCTTTTTTTCATTGGGAGAATCTATATGTCGTTTCAAATTCGACTTAGATGCAAACACCCCTTGACAAAATTCACATTGGAACGAATTCCCAGGGGGAATTGGCGTGTGTAATTCGGATTCGCTTTCGTAGGATTGCACTGTTGGAGTTGACAGTTCGTTCGCCTCCTCGCTGACATCTATTCTTTCTTCTTTGATGTCGAAAAACTCTTTCTTGATCTCAGTAAATTCTTTTTTTACATCCGCAAATTCTTTATCATTTATAATTTTATTTTGTTCAAGATCCCCTTCAGCATTGAAGTCTTTACACGTAGAAGATTCAATTTTGATAGGATTTGAAAAAAAATCTGTTTTCACAACATGAGCTATGCTGATAGCAGTATCTAGTTTTCTCTCATTGACTAAAGATGAGGTGATGAATGCTGACATTTTTTCCAGTTTGTCTATACATACAACACACGTGAAGATTTCATTTTCAACCTAAAAAAATTAAAATTATTGAAATTGAAATGTTCGAGTGCAAGACACTTACATCTATGTTGGTAACATTTAGAATCAGTTGAGTTAGATGTGATTCCTTTTTAATTCGAGCTCCATTACTTGCAGATGAACAAATGCGACAAATTACACTTTCCTGTCTGAATTTGTCTTCCTTGTTATATTCATCAACTGATACATCATTTTTTATTTTCAATTCAGATTTTCCACGTTCAATACGATTTGGATATTCAATCTCTTTTTTTAGAATCGATTTTATTTCCATGTTGGCATCATTAGTCTTGGCAACTTCAATAAACATCAATATTTCTTCAAGCTGATTTACGCATNATCGATAATAGACAAATCTTCACCAATTCACTCAAAAGATTGATATTATAATAGCAACAAATTACACATATTATTGACTACTTAGATAAACAATATATGATATAACTGACCGTACTGGATAGCACGCAAGGGAAATCCAAGAAAGGAGTTGAATCTACTTATTATAATAAAATAAAAATGAGTAAATGTATTGAAATGTAACTAGGATTTAATAAATACTTAACAGCACGACATAGTAGAATAAACATTTATTCACATATGGAGCTACAAAACACATGACATTGAATGGACTTCATTTCAACTGCCCTTTTTTAGTGTGGGATAGCACACTATGCAGGAAATAACAGCCTCGATGGAATCTTCTCTTGCTTGGATTTTTTCCATAAAATGTCGTGAACAGTGAAACTAAGCAGCATAACATGTGTTACTTATGATCTGGGTATTTAAGGTGGTGCATCCGCAAACTGCTGACGGCAGTGTAACTTTTATTGCACGTCTCACACGTATAAAGCATTTTTCCTTCATGGGTGAGCCTATGCTGGCGCAAAAGATACTTTGTAGCAAAAAATTCATTGCAAATAGCACACCTGTTTTCTGTATCATCAACATGAATGATCATATGTTTCTTCAAAATACTCGACCTTACGAACGATTTTTCACAGTACTGGCACTGGAACGGCTTTTCTCCTGTGTGACATCGAAAATGCTCTTTCAAATGTGTTTTGAGAAGAAAACGTTTTTCGCACAAACTACATTGAAAATCCCGTTTGTTAGTGTGGGTGAGTAAATGACGGTATAAATTACTTTTGTGGGAAAATCTTTTCTCACAGCAATCACATTTGTGTGGTTTTTCTCCAGTGTGAGAGATCAAATGGACGCTCAAATTATGCTTTTCTGCGAAATCTTTTTGGCAGTATTCACATTTAAAAGGCTTCTCTCCTGCGTGCCTGACCATATGCTGTTTATAACTTGATTTCAGGGGAAAACGCTTTTGGCAAACATCACATTGAAATGGTAATTCTTTGGTGTGACTGAGTAAGTGGACACTCAGTTCACGTTTCTCGTCGAAATTATCCTTACAAATATTACATTGGAATGCCTTTTTGTTTTCAGTAGTTTCACTATGAGTGAGTAAATGTTCTTTCAAAGTATCCTTGTCAGGCAGAAATTTTTTGCAGAAATGACATTGGAGAGGCTTTTTTTCAGTGTGAGTCAGCAGATGACCTTTCAACTGACACTTTTGAATAAATACTTCTTTGCAGAATTGACACCGGAATGGCTTTTTTTCATTGGAAGAATCTATATGTCGTTTCAAATTCGACTTAGTTGCAAACACGCCTTGACAAAATTTACATAGTATATAGGCAGCAGGGCTTCCAAATCAAAACCCCATGTATTTTCTTATGGAGGTTCATTCTGGCAATTTTGGTCCCTAAGGCCCACTCCACACGGAAGGGGCAAAGGTCAGCGCCTTGTCACTGTCAGACGTCCATTATGTGTAAACTTAGCCTTAGCCTTCAAAATAAGTTTACACATAATGGACGTCTGACAGTGACAAGGCGCTGACCTTTGCCCCTTCCGTGTGGAGTGGGCCTTAGGGACCAAAATTGCCAGAATGAACCTCCATAAGAAAATACATGGGGTTTTGATTTGGAAGCCCTGCTGCCTATATACTTTACATTGGAACGAATTTCCAGGGGGAATTGGCGTGTGTAATTCGGATTCGCTTTCGTAGGATTGCACTGGTGGAGTTGACAGTTTATTTGCATCCTCGGTGACATCCATTCTTTCTTCTTTGATGTCGAAAAACTCTTTCTTGATCTCAGTAAATTCTTGTTTCACATCTACAAATTCTTTCTCATTTGTAATTTCATTTTGTTCGAAGTCCCCTTCAGAATTGAAATCTCCACATGTAGAAGATTCAATTTTGATGCAATTTGAATTATTTTCTGTTTTCACAATATGCTCCATGCTAATAGCATTGTCTAGTTTTCTCTCATTAGCTAAAGACGAGGTGATGAACGCTGACATTTTTTCCAGTTTGTCTATACATACAACACATGTGAAGATTTCATTTTCAACCTGAAAAAATTGAAATTATTGAAATTGAAATTTTCAAGTGCAAGACACTTACATCTATGTTAGTAACATTTAGAATCAGTTGAGTTAAATGCGATTCCCTTTCGATTCGAAATCCATTACTTGTAGATGAACAAATACGACAAATTACACTTTCCTGTCTGAATTTGTCTTCCTTCTTATATTCATCAACTGATTCATCATTTGTTATCCTGCACTCAGATTTTCCACTTTCAATACGATTTGGATATTCGACGTCTTTTCCTAGAATCGATTTTATTTCTATGTTGGCATCATTAATCTTGGCAACTTCAATGAACATTAATATTTCTTCAAGCTGATTTACACATCCATTGCATATATTCCTCGGGACATTGATCACTTGCGGTACCTTTAAGAAAATATCTACTTAGATTGAAGATTGAATAACAATTAGGGACAGTGATAAACTGATTGGCATTGATAGAATATTATCTTGTCGCTTCACAGGTGTAAAATAGTTCGGAGTAGATTTAGGGAATCTATATATGATGGCGAAACGTCGACCATCGAATAGTATACAACGGATGAACACCCGGAAAAACAACACATCATATTCTACCATCCGTGAAAACCTACATTGTAATATATATATATATATATATATATATATATATATATATATATA